CAATAATCTCTCAACTGTTTTACAGATTTGATTGGTATGTCATTCACTGCAACCATAATATCATACTCTTCGATATCATTACTGATAAGAAACGGTTAAAATAATTGACAGATAATTAAATTATTTTCAATTGTTATAAATTAGTTGCAAAATAATTACGGAATTGAAGAAATGGTCGTCAAATTTGCCCAAACAAGAAGTCCTTCACTTATATGCCACGAAGTATTGCCGTAAATCATTGCCCACAAATCCCTCGTCATTGGTCTAACCTTTAATCCCAGCGATTTGTCCGCACTATATGTGTGTCTAATTTCCAAATACTGTTTCATTTCTTTAATAACACCTTTAAAACGACAAACAAATTAAATGACAAAACAATACGATATATAAACTGATAGTAAAGACACGAAACAAACCCTTTATATCTGAGGAACTGATGGAAAAATTATGGCGAAAAGTGTTGAGTCCGCCCCAATTCAGGCCAACCACTCGTCCGCTCATATTAATCAACGGACCGCCAGAGAAACCTCCGTATTGTGGACTCGTGTGGCATACGTACCGATTCTTCGGGTCCAACCAATTCTGGAAGTAATCGTGAGTATCGACCGAAATGGTATGGCCTTCACGACCCACACACGTGACCACACCATCGCATACACTGTAATCGAGAGCCGGATTTCCCACAATCATCACGTGTTCGCCCGTCTCAACGGTGTCCGCAAACTCTACGGTCTCTATACCCGTCATTATACGGCTCGACACGTGTACTACCGCTATATCTAAGCGTGGATTCAAGTAAACCACTCGTCCCCTAAGTCGCCGAATAGGATCTCTGACACCGACTCCTCGCACGTCATCATTGATGTCAATGTGAAACCTCTCGATCAATATGTTGTCCGACTCTCCGACCACATGAGTATTGGTGACAATACAATCTTCTTCGCCGATACCAACGCCCGCACCCCATGTGTACGCGTTTTGGCCGTTTGGGAGATGACCGCCGATGTTATATATGCGCACAAAATGCGATAAATATTGTTTATAGATCTCATCAATGGTTAGGTCTTTGCCATCACTCATGAGAGCTGATCTAATAGTAAACTTTGGTCTAATTTGTTGAACATTTCCCGCAATTTGTTTCTGTTTTCTATACTTATTAAACAAATAATTGCCCGAAATTGTGGTCAATATAGTGGCAAAACTGTGGATAAATATTACGAGAGATCAGGATTTGTAACCACTATTAATGTGTTGAATGTGTAGATTCGTGCGATCGCCTGCTATTGTACTCACAATAGTGGACAATAAAAATAGACTTCGTTAACACAATTAACAAACAATATTTATTAGAAAAAGTAATTAAGTGTTCACTTCGTTGAGTGAATACAGACTGCGAAGTCATACATACAATGCGCTACTATTTATAGGGATAATTAACATAAAGGTAATAATAGGCAATTAGTAATATCGTATGCTATGAGCTGTTCGAAGGGAGTGCTGATTGGCCAGAGAGCTCATCAGACTCATCATGATCACTGACTGGAAAATTACCAGGAGTGATAACTTCAAGTTCACGACAAATGTAAATAAGTTTCATTGCAAACATACCTCTTGTTGTGTTTAATAAGTGATAACATTATAAATGTTAATAAATTATTATTTTTACACAAATTATTGGTTTAATTAATTAACATTTCATTCACTTTACGCTTGAATTTACAGAAAACGCAAACTTAGAAAATAAAGTTTTACATAAAATTCAAAAACAGTAACAAATGTTTATAACTTTCTAATGATTTTCACATTTCAGACAAAACCTTCGAAAACAGTAATAAAATTTTCACAACAAATATGTTTCTCGAGATTACTATTTATATAGATTTGAATTTTTATTGCATTTTTCACCGAATTCTCTATTATTTTGTGATTTCTTCGAGTTTTCGGTTATTTTTGACTCAAATATCAATCCATTCTTTTTGGACACAATTTCTTGTGATTTAACAGACATTTGATTGAAAGTTGTGTTAAAACATGAATAAAGTTTTAGTACTTATTCTGTGTGTGAATTGTATTGAATGCCAAAGTATTTGTGAAGTTATCAAAGGAAATGCCAGTGATTTTGTAGGCATTCAGGCATACCATCGATGGATACCAAAGGATCAGTACGTGATGTACAGGAATGGCAGTCAATGGGAGTTTGAGATCAAGTGGAAGGGCTCTGAAGTAATGGGTATTGAAGTCTCAAAACAGGCCTTCGATTTGATTGATAACAAGACTATCAATGCTTTTGGTGTCAAAAGTGAAACTTTTGTTTACAACTGTTTCGTTAAATACCATAAAGTATTGATAATTGGAGTCAAATTAGCATTTATTTAATTAACAATTTGTTTATATAGGGCTCTAATTTAAACATTGATATTGAGTGCAAAAACAAGACCACAATTACAGTCAATCGAACGCTTCTATTGGAAACGAGTGCCGACTCTCCCGTCTTCGCACCGGTAGTCAACACATCCTTTAATACACTTTATGTACTCAACAAAAAGGCCGAAAAGGATGTCTGCTATGAAGTCGAGGAAACTGAAGTCATATTACGTCGTTTAAAAGATTGTGAAGATTTGAAAAAATTGACAAAACCTTCATTTGTCTTCGGTTTGAATGTTTCCGTTCGCGAAACCATTGATGCGGTCCTCGACTACAGCCGCGACTCACATAAGGGACACATAGTGTTAATTAGAAGCAAAGGTCGGCCCAACTATTGCTTCATCGCTGAGAACCAAACATTTGAAGAACAGGTCTTAACACTTGATTTAGACATAGATTTGACAACTCTTTCGAAACTAACAAAACATTTATTGATTTAGTGTTTAAAGCGATCGAAACCTTATTTAGAGGAATGTTTCGCAGAGAAGACATCGATTAATATGTCTCTCATTATATGGATTCTGATTGGCATTTGTTGTGCAATAATTATCATTGTTGTAGTTCTCATTGTTTGGACAAAAACACGACAAAGCGATCGTAAACACAAATTTTTACATATATTTTGCATACAATTAACTAATAAGTAATTAAATCATATGTTTTTTGCCAAAAAATGCAATCCATTGGACAATAGGGACGACTGAAGATTTAACCGAAAGTGGAGTATCTCTTGTAGGACACGATCCCGGGTCTACTCGACGTGCCGATGACCTGTCATCCCGGGCCGACTCGACCCCCGATTTATCACAAAAATCTCAATCAAATCAATCGATTGGCCGAACGTCGAGTCCGAAGGCCGACAAACAGGATATGAAACCGGGGTTGAAGTCAAGCCAATCGGTGCCTAATGTGTCGCAAACCACTGACCCATCGATGCCTAAAACCAAATCTCCCACAAGAAAGACAAGCATTTAATTGACAGTTGTTTTTATGATGTCTTTTATCTTTATATTTGTTGCCATTATTTTATTTCAATTGTAATTTATACACAAAAATCGATTTATGCTTTTATTTATACAAATGTTTTTATATATATTTTATTCAATTTTTGTTTTGATTTTGTTTTTTATTTTCAAATAAATTATTTTATTGTTTGTAATACTTATTGAAAGTTTCAATTTAAAACATAATTTAAATGAAATATTCACATAAACTGTGAGCAGTATATTAGTTATAATATCAATAGTACTGCAATTACACAACCTTTTAAAGAATTACTATTCAAATACATTACAAAAAGTATAGTGAATACCGATTATCAAAACTTTTGGTTAAAAGGCGTTTTGTTAAAGTGTTTGTTATATTCTTCCGGTTCTTCTAATTATTGCATAAATTTGCCTAAAATAAAAAAATCAATATTAAATTATATTTGCTGACACACTTTGTTGACAATTCACTAAGAAAATATTTAATTAGTTTGTAATGGGTTAATTTTCATATAATTAATGGGAATTTAATTCATATACTTTACATGTTATTTATAATATAATAATAAATGTAATTCATATGAAATAAATATCATTTATATAATTTTACACACATAACATTTTTATAGAAATATGCTAAAGCTTTTAAGTTATCAATAGTTTGTAACATATTTTATAATATATAAATGTGATGTAAACAAGGGCAATCAGCAAATTATTAATACTATCTTAACTTTATCATGAATTTCACTTATTTTTATGACATTTCAATGTCTGATGAAATTTATTTGATAAATAATTAATACAATCATTTAATTATACATTAAATGTCCAAAATATGTCCTCATTCAGTGAGAAACACAATTTGGACATTGATTTCTTATTAGACTTTAATCCGATACTAATTTCACGGGTAATCGTATTATTGTAAAACAAACTTTGATTCATAGACTTTGAAATAGTTTTAAAATATTTTTTGGTATTTATTGTAAATATTATTTTATAAATTAATGAATGAAAAGATTATAACCTAATTACAGTCAAATCAAAGGTTAATTATTAATAACTTATTAATAATAACTTATTATTAATAAGTATATAGTCGAAAAATATTAATAAACCTAATGTGCACGCACATATTTCCCTATGAACCATATGTTATTCTGTTATCATATTATGCACTTATTAAACTGTATTATCATCAAGGGCCTTGATTCAAGGCTAATTTATATTTATATTTAACAACACAAATTATCAAGTCAAAATCAAATTAACAAAGAGATATACCTGTAATTGTGGGCAAAATATTTACATGTTTATCATGTACAAAGTCTGTTTTTGGATTTTATAATAGTGTTTCACTATTGTAACCAAAATTGTTTTGCACTATTTTAATTAATTGCAACACATTTTATCAAAAGTGGTTTTAAATTATACAAAATCCAATGATAACAACAATAAACATATGATACGGGAGTTTAAGACGATAAACAGAGACACAAGACTTTCTCATTTATAAAATCATATATAAATTGTGACACAATTATTGCTTAAAAATTGAATTCAAGTTTTAAATTCATTCACAACTAATAAAAGTTAAACACAAGTTGTTCACCAAAAACGACAAAACTGTTTAAAAATGGCAAAAAATGGTCACAAAGATCTGTTTGTGAAGACACCGCTCATCGAGAGTCTTGAGTTGAAACCATTTTGCGGTTCCCGTAAAGTGTACCTCAAGTTAGAGTCGGCACAGCCGGCGGCCAGCTTTAAGATGCGGGGAATCAGTCGGGTTTGTCAGAAGGTATGGCCAATCATTTACCATATATTTCACTAATAGATTATTATTAAAAATTCAAAACAACTACAAAAACGTTGCCAACCATTAGGCGGCGAGAGATGGCTATAAGGAGATTGTGTGCGCCTCCGGGGGTAACGCAGGTCTGGCCGCCGCCTGCGCTGCCCGTGAGTTGGGCCTCAAGTGCCGTATAGTTGTGCCGAACCGGACGTCGGATATGATGAAAGACAAGATCGCCAGAGAGGGCGCAGACATCGAGACCGTAGGCGACGTCTGGGACGACGCCAACGCCAGAGCCCTCCAAGTGATCCGAGAGTGCAAACAAGCCCTATATATCCACCCCTTTGACGATCCCATTGTGTGGTAAGACTTCAATCATCACCAAAACTCTTGAAGATCTAACTCAACAATTACTCGGATCTGATCGATAGGTCGGGTCACTCAACGATGATCGACGAGATCGCGGCCGACCTGAACGCCACGCCATCGATGATCATCACGTGTTGCGGCGGCGGTGGTCTCCTGTGCGGTATCATTGAGGGCATGAGACGTCACGGCTGGACATCCGTACCGGTGCTGGCGATGGAGACGACGGGCGCCAACTCGTTGAACGCGGCGGTGACGGCGGCCGTCGACGGTGTGGTTCGGCCGGTGATACTGCCGGCCATCACAAGTATAGCCACAACTTTGGGCACGTACTCCATATGCGACCAATTGGCCAAAGAGTACAACGCGAGCGCACCACCAGTGCTGTCACATATGGTTGAGGACAGGGATGCTGTCGACGCGTGTCTTAAGTTTGCCGATCACCACAGGATTCTTGTGGAACCGGTATTTATAATTTTAAAAAAAAGTTTTGATATTTTTGATGAATAATTATTGATGTATTTGTTTTGTTTCGCTGTTAAGGCCTGCGGAGCAACTCTGGCCGCTCTCTACACGGGATTAGTTGAGAGACTATTGGCGGACAACTCTGGCCACGAGTACGGCTCGGGTCCGGTGGTCGTGATTGTGTGCGGCGGCGCTGCCGTTAATATTGATATATTTGCTGAACTCAAAAGTAGATTTGATTTATAAATGGTGTGATCACTGATCAGTAACTCTACTGTTGCTTACTCTAAGTTATTGATAGGTTTTAAACATTTTAAAAATAAATTAAGCACTAATTTTGCGTTAAGACTTGTTTACTAATTGATTATTATTTGTTATTATTTTGGGGTTAAGTTTATATCATTGTTTTGTGTTAAATGTTGTTTATTGTAATAATAAATATAATTTTACAAGTTATGATTTATAACTATTTAAATTAGCACTTTATTATATATTATTTTAAATATTTATTTATTCTTGACGATTGCCAATAACTCGCTGTTTCTCACTATATGTTTAGTGTGTATTAATTGATACAAAAGTTTATTTTGAGCGGCGATTAAATGCCGAGATTTATAGCAAAATATCATATAATAGAGAAGATGCCAGAAATACGTATTCCCGAAATACAGGCAACAAAATGCAAATAAAATACTCCACAATAAGCCATAGGTTAGCAATTGTCTGAATGTTAGCTAAAATGTCAGCGCACCAAACGATAGGCTAAAATGTATGACAAATAGCATTGTTTGCATTGAAATTTCAAATGTCCTAAAATATGTCAATATTTTTACTAAAGTAATTGTCGATATTTCTTGCAATACTAACAAATCGCTGTATTTTCTGTGCCGTAAACTTAATAACTGAATACAAAAGCATAGAAACGCGTTGAGAATCACCAAAGTTTTGAAATTTTCTTTTGTCGCGATCGGTAATGAGCACACTTACGGGCGAAGTATGACCACTACTGTAACGACTTAGAGGTGTGGTCGCCGACGGTATTAACCCCTAAGTGAGGGCTAAATAACGGTACACTCGCTTAACATATATAAGGTCGTCCAAAAAGTATTGAGCACCGGAATTTGGTAAATACTCGGCAACCGCTGAAGTGATAGTGTTGTAATTTCATGCATATATAGATCCATGTCGGGGAATTTTTATGCTATAAAAATTTTGTCGTTCACGTGACTATTTTCTGAGAAAAAGGTACCATTCCGAAATCACTAGTATTGTGCCTACTGTGC